AGCAGGAATCATTTTTTATACACAAACGATCAAACGATCAAATATTTTTATGTAAAGCGAAACCATTCATCCTCGAATTAGACTTTTAGTGATTTTTCCGATTATCCGTTTGTTGTTAAATTAGGAATCATTTTTTATACAAAGTGAATCAAACGATCAAATATTTTTATGTAAAGCGAAACCATTCATCCTCGAATTAGACTTTTAGTGATTTTTCCGATTATCCGTTGTCCGTTCTGTTGTTAAATAATTTGCACGAAAATACAGTGATGGGAATAAAAGGGCGTCGAGTTCACATGATAGAAGAGCTCAGCCAGACGATCATCTCCTTCCAGCGAGGTAAAAAGCAATGAATGATCCGCCAATGGCTTGTCGCAGCATTTTGTGCTCATGCATAGCAAGAACGATATTAATCGATCAAACAAAGCCCCTTGAGTTATAAAAAACACTTTTTTTTTCTTTTCCATTCAGGAGCATTGAGTTCTATATTGAAAAATTTGTTATATTGACAATTGTTATAAAGTATATGTGCAAACGCGCGTATATGTGATAAAAAATTGCTTTTTTTTAACAGATTATTCTTAATTTGTGCATGACAGAGCTGTAATACTTTAACCACAGAGTGATCAGGCCACTTTTCAAACAGTGTTAGTTTTGCAATAAAACCTACTAATAGTAAAACGCAAAGTATATGTCAATTTTCTTTCATGTAATGATATGATAAAAGAAACTGTACATTTCGAAATACGTATCAAGTTGATCATTTCTTTTTCCTTTTTTTTTTTCCAAAAAACAATTTTTTCATCGATCTAATATAGAATAATTCTTTTATATTAGCTATTGTGGAATGTATCTCATTAATAGCTCGGTGAATGAAGTATATAAATATCGTGCATTTGCAGCTTTAAGAGCCGAATAAAAGTATATTATATTACCAGTTATTAACACATATGCCACACAGATTAATCGATTGATCGCACACCACGGGTTTCACGCAGATAGAAAGGTTGGCATTTAATTAACTTACTTTAACGTTTCCGTTAATATATCAGATAACTCACATGAGCGAGACGTTTTCTTTATCTTATACCTAATGTATGTATAACTATAAGAAATTTTTAAGAGTATATTTTATGTGTGAATGTTTTTATATACGTATACTTATTACATCTTGCTTGTCGATATATCTCTCTTAACAATATTTAATGTTACATCTTGTTTAACGTATTAACTATACCATTGACTTAAAAGATCTTAACGATAACAATCGCACATAATTTTTTATAAATATAAATATTAATAAGAAAGACTTGTCACTTATACTATATTTTGATTCATAGTAAACCCTGGAGCTAAAGAACGACTTGTCCAAATCACGGGAACGTCCGAGGACAAGATTCAGTATGTTTAAATAAATTGTTTAATAAGTTATTATAAATGTGCTAAAACCTCTTAAAAATATATTATAAGCGGTACATTTTTATGTTTCGTTTTTTCTTGTGTCAGTTACGCGAAGGATTTAATAAAAGATACGATACAACGAAATGCATCTCCAGTGAGATTGGAACAGAACTCTGGTGGCGAGAAGGGGGCCATGGGTGGTTCTAACTCCTCGCTCAACAGTAGCGCATCGGACGAGAGCAACCGACTGCAACACAACTCTCGTCTACGTTCGTCTCTGCTGCATAGTTTTTCCACCAACGACGCCAGTATAGGCGAATACAAGTACACTGTTACCGTTGGTAACCAATCCCTCAAAATTACTGGCTGCAATCTCGATCTCGTCAGGGTAATAAAATCACCATAAAATCTAAATTTATCTTTTTTTATTAGTTTAACTATTTATCAATTTCAAATTAAAAAGAATTGAGTTATTAATTATATATCTAATTTTATTTTTTCCATTTATACTCTTTATTGATTCTGTTTCCATCTACAATGCTTTTACTTATGTATAATTTCTTTGATCTTTGGATATCTAAAGAGAATGTTAATATCCGAATGGGAACTGGGTGGGGTTATGGGGATGTTATAGACGGCGAAACTGGTATTAGATGAACACTTTTTGGGCGACTCCGAGAACTTTACCAGCGGGATAGAGTACTTCAATTATGAAGATGAACCCAGCTTCTCCGTAACTACCGTCTCCTCCAGTATTCCCCGTTGTACACCGTTGTTGCCGTTGGACAACGTGAACGCTTCTTCTCTAAATCGAGAGTTAAGCCTGGACAGCGCCGCAACCTCTTCAGAAAGTGAAGAAACTTACAAATCTCGTCCGATCTACGAAGAGCAATACTCCAAGACTCAACAAGGTATTCATATGTCTGAAAAATAATATATAATATTGTTATATTTTAAAGATTGAAATATATTTGTATTCTAATAACATGACAAAATTTGTATATAGAGAGAAAGAGAGAGTGTGTCTTGTTTTTGTTAAAAATATTTCTAAATAACACAAAATGCCGCGCCTCTCGACGCGAGTTGTTTATACGAATAATTTGACTGTTTTATTACTTTTTATATTTTCACCAAAATATACAAAATTTGATTATATATATATATTAAATTTAAATTAATTTAAATTTAAACAAAATTATGATAATAATATCTAATTATACAATATTTTAATTGACGCTTAATTTTATTTAACCAGTTCCAGAAGCAAGAGAACTTACGTACGAGTTTCTGCTGCTGTGCGCGACAGGCCCGTACGCGAAGCGACCTCCCGCCGATTGGGCGCGCATACAGAAGGAATGTCCTAATATAGTTCGTAAGGTACCGTTATGCGATAAGAACGCTAATCACATATTGTGCAATACTTTCCGTATTACTCTTCCCTGCAACGCTGCAGTTTAATATTCCTAATATATACATATAATACTTACTATAAATATGAACCTTTTGCCGAGAATGAATTTACGTTTTCGAGAATGTGGTGATATGAATGTGATTATTATGGTGTTTTTTAACACGCACGCATTTAGACGCTACAAGAACAGAGATGAGATCTGTTCTTATTTAATAATTGATTATTGAATAAGTAGTTAACACAAGAGAGGGAGATCTAAAAAAATTGAGATTATTATAAACATGCGAATATATATCTCTCTCGATAATCACATTTCGTGTTTTGTATTGAAGAAGTTAACAGACTCTTCGCAATATACGTGACATTGTAAGTACAAGTAGGTGATTCTTTGCAATAATAAGGAGCTAAGAAATTTCTATCAAAATTAATACCAAAGATATTACAAATGAGTTACGATATTTATTTCGCGATTTCAACGCGCATACGATTTGATTTCCAAGATTGCGCGCATTGGAGAAATTAATTGACTGGCTATATACAGGCGATTTTGTAAAGTCATCAGGATTGAGCATCTAAGATTTCTCTTTAGTTTCCACTCTTATTCTAACGTGATAGAATAAAACTGTTTCGTGTTCTCACTCGCTTTCTCATTTTATTATGGCAAATATCCGTAGTAAAAATGTAAAAGAAGAGATTCTCAATCTTTAAGAGAAAAACAGTTAACACAGAGGATGGAGGAAAAATGTAGAATAGAGAAAATCGACTATTACTCATACAAAATGTAATTTAAGAAAGAAATTTGGTATTTATATTCAACTCGAGAGTTAATCGAGATCAAATCGCGACTTGTTACATAAAATAGAGAGATTATGTCTATTATTTGTTGCAGGCAAAGTTTTCTACAATGTTATTCTCCATAGTTTGAAAAAGTCTATGTGTTCCTATATTTTGAATCTCTGCGATATATTTTAAATTTTTTTTTTTTTTTTTTTTTATTTTTTTTTTTTTATTGTTAGATTATATTGTTCATTTATTATAAAAGATTTTATATTTACTCTCTTCGCCCTCCCTTATTCCCCATTTCCCTTTTTTCTTTCAAATCTTGTGAAAATACTGATACATTATTTAGAGAAACAAGAAATGGAATATTATTTTATTTAATATAGTGTTATATATACAAGAAACTAATAAGACTAAACTAATAAAAATAATATGTTGTATATCAAACTCGGAACACACTGTATTAATAAATGCATATTGTAAAATCTATCTAATTTTGCTCCTTGTTTCCTCTTAAACAAGAAAAGTGTAGTTTGTAGAATATTTTTCAAAATTTAGCATGCGTGTTTAAAAATGTGCTATAAAATTTGTGCAATTTGTAAAGTTGTGAACTTGGAATATTGTACCCTGTTTAGATAGTAAAACTTAGTTTACCAACATTTTAAAATATGTGTGTGTATGTATGTGTGCGTGTGCGTTTGCGTTTGCGTTTGCCAATATCACTAATAAAAGAGGCATCGTATAAATTATGCTCGAATGTGTAACTTTATCGTCTGCATGTGTCCTCGCGTAAGCAAATTAATTAACACTACTCGGCTTTTTAAAAGAATCGAAGCATGCTGCTTATAAAGTACATGATAAGGTAAGATAAAAATGCTTCTTACAATATACGTCGTGCGACAATTTCGAAAACTAATCTTTTCCTATTGGCAGGCACCGATTCGCTGGTTCGAACCGGAGGCGTACAAAGCCAAGTTAGCAGCTGCTGGTTCTGTTGCAATATTGCCGATTAACGAAGCGGAAACCGATCCCGAGTGAAGCTAGAATTGTCAAATTGTTTTTCTTCCGATACCCTTTTCCATTTTGGTAACAAATTTTCAGAAAACAACATGGTTGTGTCAGTCGTAAGATTACGGCGCGTTTTATTCTTATGTGTCTATACCATAGACATAGAAATATTTAATTTTCTATATCTATGGTTTATACGTTTTTGTAAAAAAACAAAAGCTATTTCTTCATAAAATATATATATAAT